TGACGTAGAAAATTAGTTATTCGGTTCCACTTCAAAGCGTTACCCTAGAGGTCGGGAAAGAGGGACGTTTCCAAATCTCAGCCATGATTTACATAATTCTGACTGAGCAAAATGAAGCTACTAAACGCAGTTTGTGTAGGGCATTCAACAGAATGCTTTGTTTTGTATATAAACCCAGCAGCCCTTCCATGGCCACAGAGGCACTATATGACGCCCCGTGCCAGCACAGTCTTTGGAATCGCTTTTTGGCTCGGGTTACTTTCGAAACCTTGCCCACAGAAGAGACTGCCGTAGGTTGGCCGAAGTTAAGCGAAGGTCACATTTCTGAGTTTTTTAAGAGGATGACGACAAGGTCGAATGGGAATTACATTTCTGACAGAAATGAAGAGAAATTTGTTGAGAAATGGAAGCTTTTGCGAGAATTAGAGGAAAGATTGCTTTGAATTAGCAACTACGTATTTTCCCTCCCCTTCGCTCTTTCTTCCAGCCCCGAGCGGCGGATTTTTTGGAAGATGGAAACTGGGTTCCATGTGAAATAGTGACGAGCTAATTTAGCAAACCTAACCTTTGGATGGTGCTCCGGGGTTGAGGCTCTCTCCAAGAGAGGGGTGGGGCTGATTTGGTTTGGTCGACGCTTTGTTTCATTTGTGGATTAGCGTCCGCAAATCGTTATAAAGGACTAACACGCCAGATTTTAAAGCCAGAATTGTCCCTTATCGGATTGATGCGCTCGAACGAACAAAGTCTTGAAAAGCTGCTCTTACCTCCACTTCTCGTAACCTTCCAGTAATTCTCATCGTGCTCGATTCAGGCAGTTTTTCAACTGCTGTCACTTCAGCGGTATATGACGGTTCCACAGTAACATTCCATGATATACTACTTCCACCTGAAAAAATAGCTGCTTAGTCCAGCTGGAGGCGGAAGTAGTAGAGCTACAACAGTTTTTAAATGCATCACCATCAGAGCTGGCTTCCATGAGCTCGAAGCCCAGCCCTTTTCGAGGATTTTCGATTAGGGACATTTTTGTTTTTATGGAAGTAGTGGTCTTATTTGATATTTTTAGGGTGGTGGGGGGGGGGTGAAGGGAGAAGTTGGAGGTGGAAAAGGAAGGTGGAGGCAGCATGTTGTATATTTGTTGGCATTGGGTGTGGAAGATGACCCGTGAGGGAAAGTAGCCTCAAATTTGCCGTCTTACCGGTGACATGCGCGAGCTCGCGCTCGACTCTTTTTCTCACTCTGGGGCTGGGTTGTTTAGAAGTGTGCCACTCATACCATGCTCAAAGACAATACCGAGACTGTCACAGTCAGAGGTTTGTGAGGAGTTAAGGGGCCATAGGGAAGAGGGATACGGGGCCGTGTTCCTGAGGAGACGAAGGGAAGAGCGGTCGAACTAGCCAGAATTTACTCGGTACGTGCGTCACCTACTGCGGAAACAAGAACGATTAAACAGTATGGTGAATTGGTTCTACCGTAATCCACGTTGCACTGGAGCGCGCAATGCACCGGAGCACTGGTACAGAGATCCTTTGAACGGACTACGCCGGCAGTTTAGCGCCTCCTCTGTGGCTATTCTTGGGTAGCCAACCCATGTCGAGCGCACAGAGGAACCGACAAGTGGGCACGTCAAAAACAAGCCGACAACATGTGACGCCGCGCGCCCCATCGCGAACGTGGTTACTGTGGAACCAATTCACCATACTGATGAATCGTTCCTGTACTGCGGAACAGCCAGCTACTGACATCTCCCTTTGCGTTTTCCTACACGGGTTGATCGAGGCTATTTCTCAGTCACTCGATTAATTGGCCTGCATTACCAACTTCTCCACTTAAAAAAATTCATTTCAATTCCGAATATTTGGAATCTTAGGAGTACTGTAAACTGTGCATACATACCAGACAATGAGCTTGAGCTGACAGTGATCGAGTACGGAATATTGGACCCAACTGGCTCCTTCCATTCGATGATTCCTCTAGATGAATCGAATCGTAGATCATCAATAGTGGAATTCACACGTTGTAGCGATCCTGGCTGCAAATGAAACTCCCATCTACAGTAAGAAATTGTTTCTATTATATTTACCAAAACCGCCAAGGAGAAATAGCGCGGCGCTCACCATTGTTGGTAAAACAACGATGTATGGCGTGCCCTCAGAGGCGACACTGGCCTTTTGGTTTTCGATGAAGCGTCGATCGATCGATGGTATAATTTCTGAATACGATGCTTTTTTTACTACGACATTTAAGTGACAATTGTAGAACAGTATTTCAAAGCGTTTTGTGGTCCAATAACTGTTATCTCTGTGTTTTTTCGTACCAGACGCGAGCTGTCGCGACACGGCCTGGGCAGTGGATTACCAAAAAGTGTACGGTGTTATGAGGAGAGGAAGCAGCTATTCTCTTTCGAATCAATGAGGCTCACCTATAATTTCACAGTTGATTCCAGTGGTACCCTTGGGGCACACACAAAGTGGGCCAATGCAAACTCCTTTACACAAAGCTGATGAGCACGAATCGAATACGGTAAAGTGAATCTGAAAAGGTAAGTTTCATCAAGAGAGTTACCACTAAAAACCGATGAAAAATTAAAAATAAAGAATTGAAAATAAAAACAAATAGATGGGGATTAGTCTCCGTGCCCGCCTTCATAAATGAAAATATTCCTTAGAGTGCTCACCGGGCGGACGTCAAAGTTTGGAATCACAGAGATCGAGCCTTCTGGAGCCAGATTGAACAAATGACGACCAATGCTGAGATCTCTAGGCACTCGACATCTGACTACTGAAGAGCTGATACGTCGCCCTTCAGCGTATGAAGCGCCAAATATGCAGGTGTACGTTTGGGAAGGGGTTCTGAAAGCCACTGGATGTAGGCGTGATCGCAAACGCCACTTACAGGGCGGGATAACTCACTTGGGAAATTCAACACCGAAAACATTCACAACGACGTTGACGTCTTCACGGTCTGCCGTGGACGGAAGGATGTAAAGCACACTGCTTTTCACCTGACAGTTAGCCGACCGGCAAATGTCGCATGCAGCGCCTGACCAGCCGCGGGCGCAGGAGCAAGTCCTGAAATTGGTTTCATATGAGCATCCACCACGCAAAGAAATCCTTGACATCCTTCATTACCTGGTCTCGCGCTCGCATGTTCCATGCACGCAGTCAAAGTCACACGTCTGGCACACTGGTCCCCGACAGATAGAACAGTCCTGAAAAAGGAAGACTATTTTAAATGTTGAATGCTGAATGAAGGGTGTTCCTTTCTACGCGAAAGCCCCACATTCTTGGTTTTCCAAACGTGCTCTGGGCCGAAATCAAAAATGAAAATATGCTGAGCGCTATCAAAGGCAAAAGGCACGACCCGCGATCAGGCAATGGAGAAGTCTCTCTTGTGAAAGAAGGGCTAGGTGAACAACCGCAGGGGTAGGGCCAAGTTAGTACTTCAAAACGCGGCTCTAATCGATGGGGTGCATGACTGGAATCTTTGCACGCCCATAGACCCGTACACGCCCACCGTCGAGATGTCGTTGTGTTGCATTGCTGACCTGCTGTGCTCTTTCGCCCATAAATCTTTTCTTTTTCCTTGGCTCCCACTAACTCTTTCGCGCTATTTGCTTCTCAAGTCTCCTCAACGTAAACGTAGAGCAAGGAGGCCATTTTTTTGGTGTTTAAGACGGTTACTTTCCTTTTTAACGACCCGCTCTGTTCTTCTACTTTCACTCAGACCAACAACGTGGTCCTAATTCGCGCCTTTGAAGACAAAGTCTGGGCTCAGCTTCACTTTCACTCGCTCCCGTGCATGAAGGTGTGTGGTCCGCCATTCGAAGGTCGCGCCACCTTCGCACATCGAAACTCACTAAAATCACTAAGACGCTGGCTAAGGACTCCAATCAATGTCAACCAAAGGCTATCCAAGGTCCGCCCACCGTTCGATATCTCAACTGCGTCACAGTGTTGATCTGCTATGCTCTCTCTCTCTACTTGGACTTCTTCATTCCTCCGCAACTCACATTATCTCCCAAATGCTTGCCTGCCAACTATACTTCACCGCGCGTGAAGCAAGAAGACTCCTAATTCCTCTGTTTTTCGTAATAACTTC